AGTGCCAGAGAGTATAAAAGTTGCATCAAAGTTATCAAAATTTGCACACCAAAGTTGCACTGGACTTTGGAGTTGCACTAATGTGAACCGAGCTTTAGTGATGGAATTCTGCTCTGATGGCAGATGATTCTTATACCTACCGAATGTTACATTCACATATACAGAGTCCATGGCAGTAAGCTGCGTCACTGAGTTCCTGGCCACACATGTGTAAGTCCCCTCATTCTCAGCCTTCTCTTGAGCTACCTGAAGCTGGCTCTGCTGTTGTTTTATATCTGTCCCATTTAGTCTCCAATGGTAGGTGGCGGGTGGGACAGAATCAGCAGAACATTCTAATAAAAGGAGAGAATTTGAAGATGACGTGGATTTTACTTTCACGTTTTCTGGGCCATCTGCAATAACAAAAAAATTCATTGTCAGAATAAAAGGGCTAAAGAGAAAAAAAAAGTAATTGACTAAGTGATACCAAGATATTTGAAAGATTTCCTCTCTATCACTATTCTGGTGACAACCCTAAATTTTGGATTTTCTTTCACTCTTTGTGATTTCACTCTGGGTGATTTCACTCCCTGTAATTTTGCTCCCTGTAATTTTACTCTCTGTGATTTCACTCCCTGTAATTTTACTCTCTGTGATTTTTCGCTCCCTGTAATTTTACTCTCTGTGATTTCGCTCCCTGTAATTTTTACTCTCTGTGATTTCGCTCCCTGTAATTTTACTCTCGGTGACCACAATAAACAGGACAAATAGAGAGGGTGAATCACCCTAATGGGCAGAAACAGCAATAAAAACCTGACAGGGCTTCTAAGCCATCTCTACTGTATCCAAGACTAAAAAATAAATGTTGCCTTTACAATAGATAACTCAAGCGCAAATAGGAGTGCAACAAATGATTAAAAAGATCTCTGGGGCAGCCAGCTAGGAGTCAGCCTAGATCCTCCAAAAGCAGCACTATTGCATGCATGTTGGTTGCCTGTGGCCAGGTCCCAGCCTGTTTGTGTCACGTTGATCAGTGCTCCTCTCCTGTGGTACCTGTCATGACGCACATTGAAGCAGCACACAGCTGGCAATATAGAGCAGGGGCGGACTGACTATTTGAAACTCGGGCACTGCCCAAGGGCCCCGGGGTCAGTAGGGGGCCCCATGAGATGCCCCTGGTACCTTTTTCATAGGCTTTTTTGAGTTTGGGTAAGGACACAGGGGCCCCATGATCCCCTATTGCCCGGGGCCCCATGAGTTGTCAGTCTGCCCCTGATATAGAGTGAGTGTCTTGTTTAATTGTTATACATGTTATTTGTTACTTTATGTTCCTTTTTGCACAAAGGATTTGTGTTGGAGCGTTGCAGGAATTGATTATAATGTTTGCCTCTAGTTATATAATAGGGAGATATCATGGGTCTATTGGACCCCTAATGTCACCTCTTGATCACAATGAAGCATTTACATTATTGCTTCTTAAGGCTCTTTTCACATTGCTACATTGCAAAACGCGGTAAAAATGCACATGTATTTATGCTGCATTTCCAGATTGACTGGGTGGATGGGTTTTTGATGGGACATTTTTATGTGTTTTTGATGCATTTTCAATGCAATTCAATGGGGAGTTGAGGTTTTAAAAAAACCATTAGCCACCCGGCCCAATGGCCGTTTGGCGGCTTTAAAAGTGCTTCTGCACTCCGGGTGCACTCCATTTGTCGTGCTCCCGCACATGCGCAGTTTGCGCTAATGCAGAGCGGCGCAGCAGCGCGATCTGTCACCGGCCGTGCACCTTGGACACGGCCGATGACAGATCCGAGTACCGGCTCCCGTTGCTGGTACCATGTGACCTGCTGTGATCAATCACAGCAGGTCACATGACAGTTGTATACCATGGATGGCTTCATTCATGATGCCATCCATTGTATACTAGTGCCTAGCTGTGAATGGTCACAGCTAATCACATGCACATGTCATGTGATTAGCTGTGACCAAATCACAGCTAAGCACAAAAAAAAAAAAAAAAAAAAAGCTGAATGAATCGATTTCATTCAGGTAAATGCTTGCTTATAGCAAAGTAATTCTTTGCTATAAGCAAATTGTGTAAAAAAAAAAAAAAAAAAAATAAAAAATACTGATCACTTCCCCAAAGTAGTACAATGTTACTATGGTAACATTGTACTACTTTGGTCATAGTAAAATATGAAAAAAAATCTTTAAAAAAAATAAAAAAAATGTAATAAAAAATTAAATATAATAAAAAAATAAAAAAAAATAAAAAAATATATATATATATATATTTTTTTTTTCATACTTTCAACCAGTTAGTGTCCCTGTTCACCGCCATGCCAGTTTATATGATGACGCTGTACTGCACTGGTGACAGTATGTAAAAAAAAAAAATAGTGAAAATAATTTTTTTTCATTTTTTTTTCATTTTCCGAAAAATTATGACAAAAAAATACAACTTCAAAAAACTCGCCATGCCTCTTATGAAGTACGTCGGACTGTCTACTCTGCAAAAAGGGGTCATTTGGGGATATCTGTACTATTCTGACATCATTCAAGAAATTAGATTGGCTGTCAGTACTTCAGGATTGATCAATAATCAGATCTATACCATAGTTTGTGAACTCTATAACTTTCCTACAAACTAAGTAATACATCCTAATTTGGGTTATTTTCACCAAAGACATGTAGCAGAATACATCTCGGCCTAAATGTATGAAGAACAATTATTTATTTGTAAAACTTTTATAACAGAAACAAAGAAAAATTTTTTTTTTCAAAATTTTTGGTCTTTTTTTGTTAATTTAGCAAAAAATAAAAACCCCAGCAGTGATTAAATACCACCAAAAGAAAGCTCTAGTTGTGTGAAGAAAATGATAAAATTTTAGTTTTGGGTACAGTGTTGTATGACCGCGCAATTGTCATTCAAAGTGTGAGAGCGCTAAAACCTGAAAAATGGCCTGGGCAGGAAGGTGTAAAATTGCCCGGTATTGAAACGGTTAAGTTAACAACTAATATTTTCATTAAATTTGTTTGAATGTCACATTTTTGGAGTTTTCCTATATTCTGATTATTTTTGTATGTTGGTTATTTTCAAATCGATTCGAAATGATCAGACTTCAAATTCGAAATGGAAACATAATGCAGTAAGTACAGTAAGGTGTAAAAAAGGGAAAAGAGGAAGACTTAGGCTGCTTTATAGAATAGAATAAAGAATAGAACAAAACAGAATAAAAAAAGAATAGAAAAGAAAAAAAAAACGAACATAGCCGACTTCTGAAATTTGAATTTTGAAAGATGGCTATATTCAATTTTATTCTATTCTATTTTTTTCTATTCTGTTTCATTCTATTTTATCATTTTATACTTTATTCTATTCTCTTCTGTATTCTATTCTTTTCTTTTATGACTTTTTATTTTGTTCTATCATTTTATATTCTATTCTGTTCAGCAGCCTCAGTGTGAAAGCTGCCTAACTTTGTTTAGTAAACTACAATTTACAGTTACTCTCTGTCTGATCTTTTGGCCGATTAGCCATTCTGTGAAATCTCTACCAGAACTGTGCAGAAATCTAGCATAAAGCACCTCCTGTATTATGCCTCTGTACAGGAATCTGTATAATAAAGACTGGTCACTACACCTTTCTCTCCTTGTGTTGGGTGACTGGTCTTGTCTCCGCCCCCTCCTGTAGTTTTCTGCAGGCATCCTTTAGTGGGTGGATCTACTGGACCCCTCCAACCTTTGGCTTTGGCTATTCTTTGGCTACAGAGCATTGGATTTACAAAAACATTTTTTGGTTGTTTGAAGCTCAACTTTGTTTAGGAGTGGAGTGGTCTGCCTGCTGGTCACTTGACCAGTTCAGGTCTGAGGCCTTAGGATCCATTCACACTTGTGCGACTCCAAAGTTCTGTGATTTCCATTGCAACTATTTAGTTGGACAGCACAGTGGCTGAATAGTTAGCACTTCTACCTGGCAGTAGGGTCATTGGTTCAAATCCCATCCATGGCACCACCTGCCTGGAGTTCGCATGTTCTCCCTGTGCCTGCATGGGTTTCCTACAGGTGCTCTGCTTTCCTGCCACACTTCAAAGGCATGCTGGGAGGTAATAGGATCCTGTCTAGTATGTGTATGTATGAATGTAAGTTAGGGACCTTAGATTGTACACCCCTTGAGGGTTAGGGGAGTGATGTGAGTGTACAATATATATGTAAAGTGCTGCGTAAATTGATGGCGCTATATACCGTATTTTTTCGCTCCATAAGACACACTTTTTCTTTCCCCCCCAAAAAAAGGGGGGAAAGTGTCAGTGCGTCTTAAGGAGCGAATATGGCGGCCAGTCAGTGTCAAAATACCAGGCCGGCCGCTCAGCTCTTTCTCTGCAGCAGGACCTTACCTGTTCCTCGGTCCAGCGCTATACAGTCTTCCCGCGCCGGCTTATTTAGTGTGCGCTCTCGGCTGTGACAGCCGGGTGCCCAGTGCGCATGTGTGAGAAGCACTGCGCTTTGTGAATGGTACGGCATCTTCTGGGACACATGACAGCTCCCAGAAGATGCCCAATCACAAAGCGCAGCTCTTCTCGCGCATGTGCACTGGGCACCCGGCTGTCAGCCGGTGCCCACACTAAAGGGAGGACAACTCCACAGAAGTGGGAGCGGGAACCTGTCAAATTCAGATACCCGCTCCCCCTCCCTCCCCAAAGGTCCACAGTCTCTTAGTCTTCCCCTGCACTGTCCGCAGTCTCTGGTCATCCCCTGCACTGTCCGCAGTCTCTGGTCATCCCCTGCACTGTCCGCAGTCTCTGGTCATCTCCTGCACTGTCCACAGTCTCTGGTTATCCACTGCACTGTCTCCGCAGTCTCTGGTCATCCCCTGCACTGTCCGCAGTCTCTGGTCATCCCCTGCACTGTCCGCAGTCTCTGGTCATCCCCTGCACTGTCCGCAGTCTCTGGTCATCCCTGCACTGTCCGCAGTCTTTTGGTAATCCCTGTACTGTGTCTGCAGTCTCTGGTCATCCCCTGCACTGTGTCCGCAGTCTCTGGTCATCTCCTGTACTGTGTCCGCAGTCTCTGGTCATCTCCTGTACTGTGTCCGCAGTCTCTGGTCATCTCCTGTACTGTGTCCGCAGTCTCTGGTCATCTCCTGTAGTATGTCCGCAGTCTCTGGTCATCTCCTGTACTGTGTCCGCAGTCTCTGCAGTGGCATCCCTGTACTGTGTCCGCAGTCTCTGGTCATCTCCTGTACTGTGTCCCGCAGTCTCTGGTCATCTCCTGTACTGTGTCCGCAGTCTCTGGTCATGTTGCACAACTGTACATGTGTAACCGCAGTCTTGGTCAGCTCCTTACTGTTCCCGCAGTCTATGGTCATTCAAGTCCTGTACTGTGTCGCATCTCTGGTCATCTCCTGTACTTGTGTCCGCAGTCTCTGGTCATCCCCGTACCGTGTCCGCAGTACTCTGGTCATGCCCCTGTATGTGTCCTAAGTCTGCTGGACAATCTCCTGTACCGAGCCTCCGCAGTCTCTGGTCATCTCCTGTACCGTGTCCGCAGTCTCTGGTCATCTCCTGAACCGTGTCCGCAGTCTCTGGTCATCTCCTGACAGAGACACAAGTGAGGGTAAATCTCCCAAATAGAGCCATGAATAGCAGGAAAAACAGTTTTTTGGCTCAGCATTCCCCTATACTAAGCTTGATTACAGGCAGGATACTTTGTATTTTACTGTTAGCATGACAGTCCCGGCTACTTACAGGCCACGGTCATTGTGACGGGATCACTGTTCTCCGTACTGACAGGGTTACTAGCCTGGCATCTATAACCTCCGGAGTCCGAACGGTGAATCCTGGAGAAGGAGACAGTCCTGTTATCTTGAGATAGAGTGGCACCAGAAGGGAGAGGGGCTCCTGAGGGGAACCTGCTCCATAATATTCTCTCTGCATTAGTAGAGGTACAGGTGAACGACACGGAAACATTTTTTTGGGGATGCGAGGAAGAAATTGTGATTGTAGGTTTACCAACCATGTCTGTAGGGGGGAGAAAAATGGGAACAGTTCTACTACAGAAAGGTCTTTCTGGTTCAACTACACAATTGTAACAAAAAATATAAAACTGCACTTGGTGCAAAATAAACATGAGAAATAAGCATGCGATCTTAACCCCCTGGTCACATCAAACCCTACTTTGATATTGTGCAACTTACAGTGAAGTCGCACGATTTCAAAGTCAGAGATGACATGCTGATTTCAGGTGCGATTTGCAAGACATCTGATACAGATATCTATGCAAATCGCACCAAAAGTATTGCATGTACTACTTTAGAAATTGGTGCGGTTCTGACCAAATCGGATCGTTATGACCGCTCTAATTGTGGACAATAGGCTGCAATTTGCAAGTCGCATGGCATGAAAATCGCATTCCAATTCGCATTCAGTGTGACTGGGGTCTTACTCCAAGACCAGGCCTATTTTGACACTTTTTATTTACCAGCAAAATTATTTTTTTTTTCGCTAGAAAATTACCTAGAAACCCCAAACATTACATATAGTTTCAGCAGAGACACTAGAGAATAAAATGGTGGTTGTTTATGTCACGTGGTATTTGCGCAGCAGTTTTCAAACGCATTTTGTTCTTCAAATACACCTCTATGGGATTTTAAATGCTCAAATACACAATATAATACCCAATTGTTTGTTAAAATATATGAAAATACTTGTGAGCTAAAATGTGGTATTCCCTTTTTGTGCAAAAATGTAATAAAAATGTGAATAAAAATATTAATCTAATAAACTTATTAAATATCAATAAAATAGTAGTGCAGCAACACTATACACATACTCATAAACTGTGCATAAATAAAATTGTAAAAATATAACCATATATGTCGCGCTCTACAATGTGCATCCAAATGTCAAGACAATATAAACAAATAGTATAAAAAATCATAAATAAACTTAAAAATACAATGAACAAACAGTGCTGAAAAAAAGTGCTTCAAACAGTGCAAAACTGTGCAAAGTGTATATAAAATATACTACAGTCCACTCTGTGCTTGCAATCTTGTTTAGTGTCAAAATATGTGCCGTGGAACACTCTCGGTGTAATAGAATAGGTGTACGCTCACCTCTATATTAGCCAAACTGAATGTATGGCCAATAACGCTTTTTGTCCTTTTAGGACTAAATGGTATTTTCCATGTAGAAGAGATGTTTTTTCCTGGTAGAGATGAACATGCTGTAATGCCAGCTTTCTCCCACTAGGGGTCCCCCTCACTCCTTTCCAACCACACTATGCCTAAGTGGGTGGATGGGGAAAGATTCCCCTCTTCCTGTGCGGGTCTAAATGCTGCCTTCACCTCTCGATATAATGGAGTATCATGCAAAAGGAAATAATAATAGTGCCTTATCCTTCATAAATAATGATGCTTTATTAAATAAAATGCGCACTCACATAGAATGATAAATCAACAAGCGGTGTGATATGCCCAGATCCTCTGTCTATACTCGCCGTATACCACAATGGCATCGTGACGTCAGAGCCCCTCCCCTACGCGTTACGCCACAAGGTCACGTGGCTTCATTAGGGGGAATCAAATTCACGTGACCTTGTGGCGTAACGCATAGGGGAGGGGCTCTGACGTCACAACAAAAAGCGTTATTGGCCATACATTCAGTTTGGCTAATATAGGAGGTGAGCGTACACCTATTCTTTTACACCGAGAGTGTTCCACGGCACATATTTTGACACTAACAAGATTGCAAGCACAGAGTGGACTGTAGTATATTTTATATGCACTTTGCACAGTTTTGCACTGTTCGAAGCACTTTTTTTCAGCACTGTTTGTTCATTGTATTTTTTAAGTTTATTTATGTTTTATACTATTTATTTATATTGTCTTGTCATCTGGATGCACATTGTAGACCCAATTGTTTGGTAACATATAAAAGATGATGTTAGGCCGGGTCAAAAAATGTGTAACATGTCATGCTTTAAGATTGGAATGGCGCCAACCTACAGTACTTTAAATTGGTAACCTGTAAAATCGTTTAAAGTGTCAACCAAGGAGATTTGTGAGTTACACAGGAGGTCTGATGCTAGAATTATTGCTGTTGATCTGACATTCGCAGTGATATCTCACATGTGTGGTGCGATCGCTGTTTACATACGGACACGGGAGCAACGCTTGCATTCGCCTGAGCATGGAATGATTGGGGGGGGGGGGGTTGGTGCATAGCATTTTTTTTATTCTATTTGAATGTTTTTATTTTTACACAGTCACTTTATTTATTTTTTTTATCAAATAGACCCCAGATCCCTCCTCTGCACTTAAAAGCATTCAAAACACCAAGCTCCATGCTTTTTTTATTTTTTTAAAATGGCGCTGTGGACATCTGGAAGTGACGTCAGGTCATTGCTTCCAGGTTACCACAGCGGAGATCCTGATCAAAGTCGATTTTGTTTTGTTCGGACGTCCAGCCAGCCGGTGAATGCACCGGCTGATAGCTTGGGTCTCCTGGAGGGACGGGAGAGCCTGACCGAGCTGCGGAAGGTGGCGGGGGGGCTGGGCGTATGTCCCCTCCTGCTGCTTGTAATAGCGATCGAGAGGCTAGTTAACCACTACGATCGCTTTTACAAAAGAGCAGACTGCTGGCTCTAACAGATAGTACTGGGATGATGCCTATGGCTGCAAGTGTCATCCTGGTATAACGGCTCAAACTCCAGTGACGTACGGCTACATTGCTGAAGCTGAAGAGGTTAAATAGGGGGGTGCTAGAACCCTTTTCTTTTTTTTTTTTTTTTTTTTTTAATGTTCTCAGGTTTCACCCTTAATGCTAAGTAATGCGCCGGCCCTTAAAAAAAAAAAAAAAAGGCATTGGACTGGCTGTGGTGCCGGCAGTCTCTGATTGGCTGTACACTGAAGATCCCGAACAGCAGGGATGGAGCTGATGCTGGAATAAGGCGATGTCTGCTATAACCCCCGAAACTATTACATGAAAACACGAGTCCATTCTGGAGAAATCTGACAATCTTCTGATGGATTACTCACCATAGATGTTCAGGTGTACATTGGTATCACTTCGTTTATCTGATTGTATCTTCACTGTGTAATCTCCCTCATCAGAGATATTTAGGTTGGAGATCTGTAGAGATCCATTGGGGAAAGGTGTCATCCTATCACGGATGAACAGAGGTCCAGGAATTATTGGATTATCACCAGGGATATATGTAAGGATTTGATATTCTCTGTCTGTGATCGGTCCTTTATACCAAATAATAGACTGAATTTTCCCTGTAATCCCAGTAACACTCAGAGTGACAGATCCCCCGATGACCGGATACGGAGGGATCACCTCAATACTCATCATTCCACTGGACACATCCACCAACACACCGAGGAGAACTGCAAGAGAAAGTGACAGATGAGAAGATCAGGGATCATATTCAATCAAAGCACAGCGTGGTCAGTTTTCTGGCTGTGCTGGGAACTCAGCCTGCTCTCCTCCAATGATCAAACTTGTCCTGACGTAGAATACTCCCCCCGAGCCCGTACAGCCATTCACTGGGAAGACCAGTGTGATATGTAGCTTATCCTCCTCTCTAAGCTCCTTAGGCAATTTTTTTTTCATGTATACGTCAAATGTTTTACCTTTCATTGATCTTTTTTAGCCCTGGTTCACACCTATGCAACTTCAGGTGCGACATACAATTTACAAATCGCACCTGAAGTCACATCTTATGTATTTCTATGCCACTGTCTCAAAGTAGAAGTAATCTCCCACTGGACACCTGGAACTACAGGAAATCTTATAATAAAGCTTACTGTAAAGTAAAGGAATATCTCCTACATGTGCGCCATTTGGAGATATTCAGTGTCTCTGCAGCTGATGACATCACCGTTGCATGCACTTGAAGGAACTGCATTATCTTCAGAGCGTTGTCGAGACTCCTGCGATACTGCTCCAGTTGCCTCCCACACCCCAATGACTTGCTGGTAGGTTAACCTGTTATCTTTGTATGGCCCATACCGTATAAACGGCCGGACGGAAACATTACCAATGTCCCTCTGCTTCAGTCGATCCTGAATACGGCTGCCTGACTCATTCACCTTTCAAACACGCTCCGTTTTCCGCCACCCCCCTGCTGCCAATCCCTCCACTGGCTTCCGATTGCGCAACGGATCAAATTTA